GCGGCGTTCTCCTGGACTTGTCCCGGAGTCGGTTCGACTGGAGATGTCAAACTCGGCTTCTGTACAACATCGGGGTTGATGTAGTCCCAGACTTGCTGGTTCTTGGCGAACTTGCGGATTACACTGATCCACACGTCCCAGTTACCGGATCCTTTGAGGATGACCCGGGAAGAGGCTTCGAGGCCATCAGCTGCCATTGTAATCGGTGGTGTTCAGTTAAGTGGAAGCTTGTGACTAAATTTAATTAGGTCGTGCAAACCGGGCTCATAACTGTCACACACACGATTGTATGGGACAGCTTGGGCAAAACGAGAGACTCTTGATTTCCTACATAAAGAGTGGAATAATACGAAACTAAATACTTGTTGTAATACTGCTGCCTGGCAGGCAGCAGTATAGCAATGGCTGTTGCCTTGAATGAGCGACTTGACCTTGACATACCAACATGCCAATGTCGGGCACAAACCAAAATTCCGGTGTCTCTACACAAGTCATCGCCCTGTGACGGTTTGTGCGACCGAAGGGTGAATGGAAGAAGTTTTTGTGATGTGGATCTTTCAGACTTCTCTATGCGCTCTGCAAGACGTCAAGTCAACGTCAGTGCCCTTGTTTTACCCATAAATCAGGCGACGATCAAGCAACATCGAAGAATTTGGCTATGAATGCAACGACTCGGGGATGAACCGGTTCACCGGTTGGACTGGGTGGCTACGTAGCACATAAAGTTTGTTCGACAACAGCCGGCCATCCCACCAGCCCAATACCGCCACGGCCGTCCATTTCTCCATGTTTCATGGGCTTCGTGGCTATGCTGTTTGGCAGTGAAAAGGCCAATAGCTGTCCCTCGTACGGCTTCTTCCGGGATATCTAGACTTTGATCATTTCTGCAATGTGATAGCATGACCCTTTCATACATAACTAGGTAAGTATTTTGATACCTTTACTCTATTTTGTGGTACGGGATATCTACGGAATAGGTTCCGAAAATCTTTGTGAGGGTTCTGCCGAGAACATTCGGCATCGGTCGTGCGCCTTGGTATTACGTACTGGTGCCGTGTTGTACGGTAGTCGATCTTCGAGATATTGGTAATACTGACTCCAGATTGAGGGGCATCCGCTCATTACGAAACATGTGCATTTTCCGTCTGTAGAGTGGAACACAAGTGCTTGCATTAGCTTTCAAATGTTACCTACTACTGGGCTGCTGGGCTAGACCACAATGGTGTCGCTGCTGACATGCAGCGAGGCTACGACTTCGGTGGGTTGCATGGCAGTCAATAATGCGCCGCCAGTGCCTTACACTCGATATATTCTCCGATATTGGTCACACAACATCAATACAGGTATCACAAGAACCCGAACCCCGAGCGGGGAAGGGCTCCCTCAGGCCTTGACGGCTCACCAACTTTTCGTAGGTATAGATACCGCTTACTCTCCAATGTCTCTTTGGAAACAAAGGACGTTTGATTCCTTCAAGTTGATAATCAAATTGAATTTATCCTTTTCCTGTAAGCCCAGTTAGGCTGCCCTTGTCACACCTGGTACGTTCGCATTCGTTTATGTAGTCAGCGTTGCAAGGAATACGCTATGAAAACGAGACTGACATGCTTGGAACGAGCTGTCCGCAATCCTTTCTTTCAAGAATATATCAACTCACCTCGGTATCATTTACCAGTCCCATCAATCTTTATGAAACCCATCTACACCAAAAGCAACCCAATCCATCCTCATCCAGCAACGCCCTCCGTCAGCCCAGGCTTGCACTTGCAAGCCCGCCACTAGCCGCTTCACTTGCTAATCATGCTCCAAAATAGCCGCCGACATGTTCGCCCACTCCCCCATCCTCGGAGCTATCATCAGCCTTGCGCTCCTCGCCGGCCCAAGTGCTGCCGCTGCCGCAGCCGTGCCCGACTCGATGCCCGCCCTTCAACCCAGGACCACTAGCGGCATCGACATGAACGCCGCCTGTAGGTGGCAATATGATGACAGCTACACGTCTGGAACGATCGGGACTGGCTGTTATGACTGGATGTGTTGGAAGAGCGGTGAGCAATCGGGTGGTCTCGATCTCAGCGCGTGGTGCCGCCACGTGCATGGCCCCCAGTCGTATGCGTCGTGCAACGGTGGCCGTTATAATTGGGTGTGCAATTACTGATTGAGAAGCCCTTGATCGGCACGCAAGGCTGAGCGGGCCTGTCGTTGGGAAGAATTCTTCGAGTTGTATTGGCCTCTATTTGGATGTGAGCGTTGATTTAGCTCTTGTCGTTTAGGTCTGTCCTTGAAGTTAAATTTTTAAGTAACTGGAAGAAGAAACAATGAAAATCTTAGGGCTGGAACGTCCATCTGTCCAGTCTGATTGAGTCAAAGTACACAGTGTAGAAGGTGGGTTTCAATTTGTTTCATCGTATACGTGTTTGGCATCTCCAGAGATGCTGCATGACACAGCGAGGGGAGCTGTCTCACACGCCTTTTACGTGACTTAATTTTTATAACCAACACTGTCGGCCTAAACGTTGCTGTAACAGAAAACGTGATCTCACGCCCAACATGGCTTATAATTCCTGTCTCGCATAACGCATAATAATACAATGCATGATTTTGCATAAACTATTACACTTACAAAGCGCATATCATAAGCAAATCTCTTTCTCTCTTACTACTAGTGTTATATAGCTTCGGTTATTCTATACAAAATTCAGCTTGGAGCTGAATCTATATGCCCATCTTTTAATGCCCCTTTACACTATCTTATCATAGGCCAAAAAAGGGACATATTATTCGCCCTGTTCTTGTCGACCTTATCGTCACTAGTCTAGCCCGTCTTCTTGTTTCCTGGCGGGCACAGACCAGAAACTATCTGGTCTTACAGGATCATCCAGACCCTGATACCGGTTGCCAATTGGGTGACGACGGAATCGCTAGTATAACAAGCTTTGGCTCAAAGTCGTGTCAACAAAGTCAAAGAGTATATAATAGATGACCACTGGAAATAATACACCTCATATAATCGTTGGTCCCAAGTTTAGCGTGTAGGATGAGCGCTTTGATGCAAACCACTACCGTCGATTCTCTTCACCAAGGCATTGCCAGCAACGCGCTACACAGCATTATCTTGCCGTTACTGAACCCTAGACCGTGACTCTGTAAAGTATAGGCTATAGTACAAGTTGCCGCGGCCTTGCCTTCCAGAGGCAACAACCATGGCAAAATAGCTGGATACTCTTCCACCCAGTTTTCCAGCTCCGTTCAACTCTCGCTCCTGGCGCGCGAATCGCCGGATAAAACCAGGGGCAGCAAGTGTCCAATGTCAATTCAATTCCGCCCTCATGGACTAATAACAAGTATTCACGCCACGTGGCCGTCCTCGTCCTCCAGAACCGGAAGCTGAAACGTCCCCAGCTCCCGCAAAAGTTGTTCCGTATCATGACTCGCATATCCATGATTGCTAAACAAACTATCCGCAACGGGCGTCACCAGCTTGAGTATACCGACCGACGCCGGCTCCGAGCTCCGAATCGCGTCGGCTATACCACGCAGCATGGTAATCGTCACGGCCGTGTTTTTGCTAAGAACGCGTCAGCACCATCCCATCAGAGTCACAGACGCAGGCATACATTATGGCGGCGATCTTAGACGAGCACAGGATCAACAAGCCGGGCCCGAGGGCATTCGTCAGTATCCACCACCGCTTCCCGTATCGCTTCCGGTTGTGAAAGTCGGCGCGCAGCTCGGCCCGCAGGCGCGCGTCGGCCACGCGCCACTCCGGGTGGATGTTTTCCAGGATCTGGTCGATCATGGAGCTGGTGGTTCCGCGGCCCAGCCTGGTCTCGACGACGGACGGGTTCCGGCGCCCCGTCTTCCATTTCAAGCAGGTGTTTTCGTACTCGAGGTGGAGGAGGACCAGGGCGATGCGCGTGCGGATGGGATCGTCCCTCATGCGCTTGTCGAGCCGGCAAACGCATGAATAAGCATTTCGGAGCTTTTCGTAATCGCGTACGCTGGCGCCGGCGGCTTGGGGGGACTCTTTTTGCCAGAGGCCCTCTTTGCTCCAGCGGGCGAGGTTTGTTTGCAAAAAGTGCAAGTAGTCGGCGCGGATGCAGGTTCTCGCTGCCAGCAGGATCTTTTGGCGCACGGGGTCGACTGCTGCGCCGTTTGGGGCCTCTTTCATGATGCCTCTGGTGGTGTTGGGTGTGCACCCATTTCGTCCGGGGGAGAGGTTGCTGTACATGTCCTGTCGCGGCTGGGCGGGTGATCGAGGGGATTCCCCGAGGGATGTGCTCCTTTCCAGTCTGCCAGATCGGTCACCTGATCCTTGACAATGGTGCCACTGTGACGCTGATAGTGGCATGTTTGGTTCCATGTCCCATGACGTATAACACGCAGGGAGAGAGATTTGACTCATCTCCAAGTCGTCGAACTGCGAGCTAAATGGGCTTTCGGAGCAAGCATCAGCCATGGATCCATCGTCGCTTCTACGCTGGACCGGCTCGGCAGTTGAAAAGCGTGAAGAGGAGTTTGAAAAGGTTGATAGAGTGTCCAACACGGAATACCGAGACGTAGTGCTGGATGGTGGCCGAGGACTTGCAGTCGTCCCACCACCGTGTCGTTGCCGGATCATGTCTCCATCTGGGCCGCAGGCTTTGTTCTTATCTTATCATGTCAGCTTTCGATCGTGAAATGGGACGTTTGGCAACAGACAGGAATTTCCGTTATTCCATACGACGCTTTGGTGAAGTTGTTCCTCAATTGGTTTTCCATAACTCGTACACAGTTGATATCCGTCTCGGATTCGATGAGAGAACAATCTTCCGTAGCATTGGGTGATACCATCGAATCCATACCTCGAGGGCTATCGTGCACAATGACATTTTCCTCTCCCGGTGAATGTTGGCTCGTCATTGAAAAGTCTGATTTTGTGCCGCACATCGACACGGTGCTGAGGTCAGGACTCAGATATGACTGGTAGGTCTGATCTAAAGACTTGTATCTAGAAGCAAAACAAGGAAACAAGATGGGACTACAGTCAGAATCTAGAAATAGCCATTTCAACATGGTGAGTAGAGACACGACTTACTCTGGAGGCTCTCCGTTTTCCAGAACCAGCACTGGTTTGACGGCGACCGTGTTCCCCGTAACTACTCGCTGGAAGTCGATTCTAAACGGGTTCATACGTCGGGCAAGAGTATGAATTGTTGTGACGTCACTCTCGTCAAGCAACGACTTGATCGCATCGACAAAACAGTTCATGTTGTCCGGGGTCGGGGTACAACTAGGAGTAAGCAGCTGCTGCATCTCAAAACGATCCATGATGCGAAGGCACAAGACACGACAGACTCGAATACACCTTGCCGGGCAGCAGAGGGGGCCGGATCACGGCAAACCCATATACCAGGCAGCCTTAAAGGGTGGTGTTTGGCATGGGACAACACGCACCGTCGGTGTGTCGCCGACTTACATGGAGTAGTTCCGTGCTCAAAAGCCGGCTTGCGGGGTCTGCGGCAAGTCGGCAGCCTCCCAAGCCACAACTGCAGGCGTACGAAAGTCAGTGCGATCCGTTTCTGACATGAATTGATGGAGACGCGCTCCGCCCCTTGCTGTCTAGCGACCACACCGTTCCGCGTTTGACAGACCGTCTTTGTTGCCGTGCCCCCCCAGCCATACGGATTTCGAGCCATCGAGGAACGTGTCAAGGGGACGTGGAGTTTCTCCGGGGTGAAGGCGACGTATGCGCACGTCTGTGTCCGGGATGGATACGAAAACGGTGTGCCAAGAAGGGCGAATATACGTCACATCTGCCTTGGACCTGTCCATCAAACCGGTAGGGCTACGTTTTGACTCACTCTTTGGCATTTTACACACTTGCTGCCTTATCTTGGGCTGAAAGACGCACCACGGCCGTTCAATCTGCGCGGTTGGCTGGTTTTGCTAGCCTGATGCCATGGTAGTGTCGGGCGCGTCGTTGAGATAAGAGGCCTCTTTTGTCAGAAGATGCATGGAAAGAGTGGTGTAAACTTTGAGAGCGCAGGCCAGCCAGCCGTGGCCGTTTATTGAGTCACTACGGGCCCATCTTGCGCCTTTTCCCCGTGCATCTTGTCTCGCTTATCGTTCTTGTCCCGCGTCAGGAGGAGCTACAAGCTGATCGTGGCAGGGCCAACTCACCAGACACAATGCATGATCTCATCGACTACCCCAAACAAAGCAGTTGTCAATTAAAGTTACACCCGTTTCAGGCGGACAAAGGCCACTGCGTTATACGTAAGACGTGCATGCTGCACGGCGGTGCCTGGCCGTCATTAGTTCAGCCCTAGTGCAAACTCAATTATCACCCCTACAGATGCCGTTGTCAGCATTATCTACAGTTTAGCTCATGTCAAAGCATCCCGGCACTAAGCCAAAAACCTGGTGGCGAGAGCGGCCATATAAATCTCCGCCTGCGTTGTCCGCGTTTCCTCCCAGGCGGAACCGGTGTTGTAGCGTCAAGTATCTGATGCCACGCAAAGAATACTTGACCGCTTACGACGCGAGGATAGCGCAATACTGCCAGCATGTTCCAACATTTGAAGCCTCAAAGTCTAAACCGTATCTACTAGGGCTTGGCGGCCAGGAACATGGCAGATAAACGGGAAGGGGGACTGTTGTTGTTGGTTTTGTAACCGCGTGGCGGCAGCTCCCGGCATTAGCACGGACCTGAAGCTGCCAAGAAGCGGTCTGGTTCCTACCATGTGCCTGCAGTGGGGAGTATCTCATTATTGACTTGTATACGGATCCCATGGTTCAAATCAAGGCCCTACGTGCTACCAGTTTGAGCCATGCGCCAGAATCAGGCTCACGATAGCATAGTGGATGCTGGGATGGAGTGGTAAAGACAGCTACTAGATACGAACGAAAATCTACAGCGTGACCATGTTTATCTCCAAGTCTCTTGTGGTTTTCCGTCTATTGCGTCATTTTTGATAACGCTTGGCTTAGTTCGCCCGTCGTCTCACATGATTGGTCTCGGACGCACCACGAGATACGTTGCAAAATGTGATATTCCATAGCTACTATCGACTTTGCATTCCGCTAATAATTCGCTTTAACATCAAATGTCCTTGG